TGTTGTTCCATCCAATAGGAATTGGCACTTGTATAAAATTTAACCTCTAGCGTATAATAGGCTTTTCTATTGCGAATACTTAAAAACCATTAGACTATATATACTAGCAGACCCAACAGACGCTGTCCTGTTTAGTTAAGTTGCAGTATAACATAGACACTGAGTGCAGCACTATCTGCCAGGCTGATTTGTGAATCTAGCCCATCCTGGGCCTGCATTTGGGTGGCCCAAATGCATAATAAATTCATTCAAATCAGTCTAGCCATTTAGGAAAAGTTCAGAGACTTATACACATACAATAGAATTATGTATATAAAGATATAAATAAGCTTTGACTATTCACATTAACTATAAATGGTTTTCTGCCTAGATCAGATAGTTGTTTTTATAATTCTCTAGTAGAGGTAGGTACCAAAAGTAGCATTTAAGAATTTATAAATTGCTTATGCTAAATCAAATCGGTACCCAATAAACAAAAAAGTTACAAATAATGTTGTGTGTTCACCTCTTTATATAATAAGTAAAGTAAATTAAAGTGATTTTTTATATAAAATTTTGATTAACTGTCTAAGGATAATCATTATGGTAATTGTTGTATTTTTTTGTATGTTGTCAGGATGAATAATGCCTTAAATATGTAAATTAATAACTTTTTGTAGTCACAAATCAAGCGTTTTTAAGATTTGAAATATGTTCCTCTAACTTGTATTTTATAAAAAATACATATCGATACATCATTTAATTGCATTAATATTTATAATTATTTCTTTTGGTAAAGAAAGCAAATTAATTAAACTGTCTTAATTAATTAACTAACAAATTTATATAATGACATTGATACTATATATATTATTATTTATTGTTTACACACTGTTATAGTATGATGTTCAGTCGGAAAATCAAATTATATAACTAACAGTTTTCTTATTAAAAATAACAGGCTCAACTAAAAAAATTCGCATTTCTGTATTTCTCGCAGACTATTTAAATCACATGAAAAACCGCGAAATTTTAAACTCCTTTAATCAGAACCGGCCGGCGAGCACAACGCTCGTCTGATATTCAGTGGTATAGCCAAATTTGTGATCAGTGAACGAGATAGCAAAATAAATACGAAAAGATAAAAACTCACCTGCGGTCAATGTGTGTAGGTGAAAACCATACTTGTTCAAGGTTCTGAAGTATATTTTTCATCAGAATGGCTGCAGCCGGCATCCAATCTTCTGAACGTTGAAGCTTTAACCCAGGTTTTTCAACGTCCAAAGATGCATCGATAGGCAAAATCCCATAAACACCCAGCTGTTCAAATACGATTTCATTGGGAGAATTAAGAACTTCAACCCATATTAAATTCGGATTGAGGTAGTGTAATATCTCAACTTGATAATAGTCTGATGCCATGATTCTTAATCACAAATTAGGCGTCAATAACTGTTTTTAAATCATCTCAACAAATTTCTGCGGGTTCCGAGAATTCTCTTTGAGAATATTAACGATTTTTAGTTTTTGCCTTAGAGTTTATTCTTGTTTGATTTATCGTATCCGATAGACAAAGGGATCATAGCACATAGTACTGTTTTTGCAAATAAAATAATGTGTTCGTTTTACGAAATATGGACTGAAACGTATTTATATATAACTTACGTTTCGAAACATTCAGTTACTAAGCTGTTATATTCTTCAATTATTACACATTCCTAGTTTACGAAAGCCCTTATTTTTAAATTTAAAAAAAAGATGCATCAATATTCTGTAAAATTTTATAAATTTACAAGAACTAGATGCGCTTCTTCAAAAATACAAGAAATTTTGTCTGTCGATGTTGTTCTATTACAAAATACAGTTGAGATCTTTTCAAAGACAAGGCGATAAAAACACCTGTACTGTCAACTTAAAAAATAACTCATCCGATTTCTTTTATTGCCTAGACAGGTGAACAAGCTCACAACCAACCTGGTGCTTAGTGGTAATCGGAGCCAATAGCCATTATAAGGTGAATGCCACTTGTATGCTTAATATGAGTCTTATATATTTTCTATCGCGTAAAATTTAACTAAATTTTTTATGGAATTGGAACCTTTGCCGATAGGAGCGCTGTTCCAGCTCTCACTAGGCACTGTTCAATCCTTACCTACAGATCTACTCTTAAAACTCAAATTCACTACTACTTCAGGGCGTAAACAGGCAGGGTAGTAATACTTAGCCACGCGGGTTCACAAAACACCATAGCAATAAAAATCTAAATTTAGTACAAATACTGTCCGCGCGCGAGCTCCGAGGATTTTTAAGGAATGTTGACGTAATGAGCTAGTGTTGTAATTAGTCGATATTGCGCTATCGATACTAACACATCTTTAGACTCCGTGCGAGTGCAAATTATAAAATAGTTTTATGAGGGTATTATGTACTTGAAATATAATAAAAAAAACAATTGATCACGTATGAATTTCATTTAATGAACTGATTTTTATTGAACAAAATGAACGTGACATCTTATTAATTACTCTCGCAATCAGATTAATCAGTAGTTGAAGAATTTGATGTACTCTCCTCTTGATGTCACTCTCCTCACATACTTCAATAATAAATGATTCGACAACATCCTCCTCCATTAAGCCATCCTTTTGCCAGTAATATTCCTCTAATGCTAAGACATGTTTATTATGCTAGTGCTCGCCATTCCTTTTTCATCAAATTAAAGACAATGAGTCGGTAAGCGTACTCTCACGTTAAGGTCAACACTAGTACTGGGAGAGTGCGGGGTATGAAGTGACGGCCGGGCGCGGTGCACTCCCGCCCGCTTCCTCAGCCCCCGAATCCTCGGAGCTCGCGCGCGGAGTATACTTAATTGTAGATCTATGATCGTTATGATCATAAAAACAAATTAATGACATTGAATTACACTATTTTGTCTTTTTAAATTTGAGCCTTGGAGAAGGCCACTGAAGTATAGGTAGGTCTATGGAGAAGCCGGAATGTTGTCTGTGTGGAATATGTCAACTGTCAATAAATGTCAACAAAGACTATCAAATTAATCAAACTTGAATTGACGAGTCGGCAATGAATTCGTGGCGATAAAACACAGTAAAATTATAGCAAAATTTAAAGCTATTTTCATGTTTTTATAAGAAGTAGAGCTCAAAAAATAAATAAGTAAGTATGACTTAGCCAATTACAAAAAATGACGTTAATAGAAATACGCCTTGTTGATAAATAAGATTAAATTTGTAGCTCACTATTTTGTTTTTAGTATCATGATCGCTATAATATATCTTGTAATCACGCTTAATACTTAATGTAATGTAATTAATTGAATAATTGGGTTCGATTTTAGCGTTATGTTTATTAGCGCTATGGGCACAAATACCAATAATTGTTATTTAGTAATCAAATTGACTTTAGTCGCAATAATATCAATATTACTCAGATTTAGAAGTTTGAAGCATGGGCTAAGTTAAATTAAATCGCCAGAAAAGTTAATGTGAAAGTCTAATGAAAACTTGACAAAGAAACATCAATGTTGCGGCTATTTATTAGACATGGTAATATTTTAAAGTAGATGAATAAACAAGCTGAAAATCTACTTGCTGTTAAAGGATATTGGAGCCCACAGACATCATTACAGGACTCGCGACAATAATAAAAATCAAACCCGCAAAATTATAATTTGCATAATCATCGGTAGTAGTACCTCTTGTGTTATCCTATGACTATCAGAATATTTAATAAGATACCAAACAGCATAAGAGATCTTCCACTAACTCAATTTAAAAGAAAATTATATTTATGGCTAATAGACAAGGCTTATTATAGTGTGCAAGAATTTTTAAATGATAAGTGTTGTACATAATAAAATATTAGAATAAGAAGTGATAGAATGTAAAAATAGATAGATTNAAGGATCATGAATAGGCTTGACGTACGTCGATAATTATTATTAATTGCGGCCTTGAGCTGACGTACAGCCGTGATGGATCGTGAATAAAGCGCTAAATGCATCGTGCATCGTGCATGGCCTTGGCGGGACGTACAGCAAGATGGATCGTGAATAAGGCACTTTACGCTTCATATAAAGGTGCGTTCTTAACGCCACAACTGTTTTCGCAAATAAAGTATTGTTGTTCGTTTTACGAAATATGGAGTGAAACATAATTTCATATAACTTATGTTTCGAAACCTTCAGTGACTAAGCTGTTATATTTTTCAATTATTACGCATTCCTAGTTGACGAAATAACTTATTTTTGAATTAAAAAAAAATGCTTCAATATTCTGTAAAATTTTATTTAATAAATTTACAAAGAACTCAATGCGATTTTTCAAAAATACAAGAAACTTTGTCCCTCGATGTTGTTCTATTACAAAATACAGTTGAGATTTTTTCAAAGACAAGGCGATAAAAACACCTGTACTGCCATAAAAAATAACCCATCCGATTTCTTTTATTGCATAGACAGGTGAATAAGCTCACAACCTACCTGGTGCTAAGTGGTAATTGGAGCCAATAGTCATTACAAGGTGAATGCCACTTGTATGCTTAATAGGAGTCTTCTATAATATTCTCTATCGCGCAAAAGTTAACTAAAATTTTTACGGAATTGGAACAGCGCTACTATGTTTTCCGGTAGAGGCGCTGTTCCAACACTCACTGGGCACTGTTCAATCCTTACCTACTGATCTACCCTTAAAACTCAAATTCACTACTACTTCATGGCTAAATAGGCAGAGTAGTGATACTTAGCCACGCGGGTTCACAAAACACCATAGCAATAAAAATCTAAATTTAGTACAAATACTTAATTGTAGATCTATGATCGTTATGATCATAACGACAAATTAATTACATTGAATTACACTATTTTGTCTTTTTAAATTTGAACCTTGGAGAAGGCCACTGAAGTATAGGTAGGTCTATGGAGAAGCCGGAATGTTGTCTGTGTGGAATAGATGTCAACTGTCAATAAATGTCAACAAAGACTATCAAATTAATCAAACTTGAATTGACGAGTCGGCAATGAATTCGTGGCGATAAAACGAATAGAATTATAGCAAAATTTAAAGCTATTTTCATGTTTTTATAAGAAGTTGAGCTCAAAAAATAAATAAGTAAGTATGACTTATGCCAATTACCAAAAATGACGTTAATCGAAATACGTCTTGTTGATAAATAAGATTAAATTTGTAGCTCACTATTTTTGTTTTTAGTATCCTGATCGCTCTAATATATCTTGTAATCACGCTTAATACTTAATGTAATGTAATTAATTGAATAATTGGGTTCGATTTTAGCGTTAGGTTTATTACCGCTATGAGCACAAATACCGATAATTGTTATTTTGTAATCAAATTGACTTTAGTGGCAATAATATCAATATTACTTTGATTTAGAAATTTGAAGCATGGGCTAAGTTAAATTAAATCGCCAGAAAAGTTAATGTGAAAGTCTAATGAAAACTTGACAAAGAAACTTATCAGCATTGTGGCTATTTATTAGCATATGACATATCTTAAACTAGATGAATAAACAAGCTGAAAATCTACTTGCTGTTAATGGATATTGGAGCCCACAGACATCATAGGACTTGCGGCTATAGTTAAAATCAAACCTGCAAAATTATAATTACTGGTGGTAGGACCTCTTCTGAGTCTGCAGTGGTAGGTACCACCATCCTGCCTATTTCTGCGGTGAAGCAGTAATGCATTTCAGTTTGAAGGGTGGGGCAGCTGTTGTAACTATATTGAAACCTTTATGTTGTTAGGAAGCATTTATGTTATGGGCTATGGGCTCCTGTAACCACTTGACATCAGTTGGGCTGTGAGCTCGTCCACACATTTGTGCAATAAAAAAAGCCTCCTTTGGCGCAAGAGGCTGAAATCTCCATATATTGTACTAACATTGTCTCATGCTTTAAATCTGAAGGTATAACTACTTCACAGAAGAAATAGGGAGGAAGAATGTGGTATCAACAATAACTTCTTGTATTGTGTGAAATTATATGACAAATATTTATTTAGGGATTCCACATTTAATGCATCAAGAACAAAATGCAGAATAATATCAGTATGATTAATGTTGCCTATTAAAGATGTATTTTGAAATGAAAAATACAAAATTGTTACAGATTACAAAATGGGAATAACGGTCAGTCAATACTCTGTGCTATCAAGCAATGAGCACTTGATAAAGTTCTGCTCAAGTGAGATAATATGCCCCAACGATCCATTCTGGAATCAGATGTTAGCTTTTAATATCAAACCACCTGGAAGTGCGTAAGTAATGAGTCATTTACACTTTTGAATGTTGAGAAGTTTGTTTATTACAATTTGTTACCAAAATCCATAGGGATTATGAAATTTGCTACATTTGATATTTAATAATAATCTTATTTTTTTTTTAAATAAAAGCATACACTGAATTCAATTCAATTCAAAACATTGAATTGAGCACTTCGCTTTAGAACTCATATTCTACATCAATATTTATCGGAATAAATCAATTAGTTTAATCTTATCAGGACATACATGTAAGTAAATTCCATTGTTAAAGTTTAAACTAGTGTTCAATAAATGGTTTGAGTTGACAATATTAACACTGAACATTTGTGATAATACTCCATACAGGAAAAACAAAAGATTACTATTATCTAATGCCTACTTTCTAAAATCTATGTTTAAAATTTTCAACTTACATAGCTATTGGAACATACTTAAAATAAGTTCTATTGTAGGCTGCCTAGACAGATTTGATAATGGCTTTTTGATACCGAGAATTCAATTGTTTTCAGAGAAGAACAACTAATGTTTGATTCTGCAATAGAATCTCTGCTGCAAACATTCGTTCAGAATAATCTGCAGACCGGAAACCTTGGGTCTCTGGTTCAAGTCTTCATTACCAGGGCAACGTTGTTACTGGCGTCTCCGGTCAGTGATAAGTGAGTGGTTTTATAGTTTATACAGGGTGTCCCAAAACAGTGTAAAGACTAACTACTCTGTTTAAGTACTGTAAAATATTTGTATTTAGAAATTAGTTATGCCCTAGCGTTCAGCTAAGATAGATGTTGGTTGCCATTCTCGTGCAATTGAAAGTGGGTTGCGTACAATAGTTACACATATAAATAATAATAATAATAATTATTATATTTTTTTATTGCCCTTGTGGGCAGTTGAGCATATAACCCACCTGATGGTGAGTGGCTACCGTTGCTCATGTTTTTTTTTTTATTGCTATATGGGAGGACGCGCTCACAGCCGTCCTGGTGTTAAGTGGTTACTGGAGACCATAGATATCTACAATGTAAATATGCCACCCACCTTGAGATATAAGCTCTAAGCTCTCAGTATAGTTACAACGGCTGCCCCACCCTTCAAACCGAAATGCATTCCTGCTTCACGGCAGAAATAGGCAGGGTGGTGGTACCTACCCGTGCGGACTCAAAAAAGGTCCTACCACCAGACGTCAGCAATACCAGGGTATTCAATTTGATTCTTTTATTTAGTGCATCACTAGCTGACCCGGCGGACTTCGTAGTGCCTCTAATCTATAAATAAAAGACCTAAACTTTTGTATAAAATAAATTTAAAAGAATCCATCCGATGGGGGACTCATCAAAGGAAAAACAAAATTGTTATTTTTATTTAATTCCGAGCATTTTCATATTTAACTACCTTTTAAACCCTCTCTGGACTTCCACAAATAATTCAAGACCAAAATTAGCCAAACCGGTCCATCCAGTCTCGAGTTTTAGCGAGACTAAAGTACAGCAATTCATTTTTATATATATAGATTATAGATAAAGTTAAGTACACATGTTTGGGTTATAAGTCAATTCATATACAACAGCACTTAACAATATGTTTTATCAAAAGGAGAACAATTATCCTCACTAATACACAATACAGGGACTTCTGTATATATGTATAAAGTTAATTGTATTTTTCCTTCCAGTGTAATGCTCTCTTGGACAACGTTCAACGCGTTGTTCGTCATAAAAGCGGTCATAAAATATTTGGTAGAGATGGTACCCGAATACGAACTGTGTCGGCATCTGGACGCCCAGATCGACAGGAGAACGGGCAACGGTCAACTCGATAACAAAGACGCTTCGCAGACGGTGAGCTAACGGGGACTTATTTTTTATTATTATTTTAATAACCTCATAGGGCCCCAATTTAGGAATCCTTATTTTATGGATACAAGAGACTGATAATACTTATATATATTTTAAATACATACATTTTTTTTATAGCATAGATGGACGGACGAGCTCACAGCCCACCTGGTGTTAAGTGGTTACTGAAGCCCATAGATATCTACAACTCAAATGCCGGCACCCACCATATAATTTGAGTAATTACGCTGGTGGGACCTCTTGTGAGTCCGCGCGGGTAGGTACCACCACCCCGCCTATTTCTGCCGTGAAACAGTAATGCGTTTCGGTTTGAAGGGTGGGGCAGCCGTTGTAACTATACTTGAGACCTTAGAACTTACATCTCAAGGTGGGTGGCGCATTTACGTCGTAGATGTCTATGGGCTCCAGTAACCACTTAACACCAGCTGGGCTGTGAGCTCGTCCACCCATCTAAGCAATAAAAAAATACATACATACGTATAATAGTTATATTAGATTGTATATAATTATAATTGGGACAACAGTGTATTTGAATTAAAATGTCTTAATCTAAATGTTAATTCCTCTGTAAACATTCCTCTCAGCCATCGACACCCTCGAGCCATGAAGCCCACTCACAAACGCCTGAAGTGCAACAATCTCCAAAGCTGACGGCCTCCGAGAGTCGAGTGGAGATCCTCATAGACGCGCTGATAGGGCTCATCATAGACGTGCCTGTTACGTGAGTCATGTTCTGCTATTGGTGGAAAGAAAGAGATCTGGTCAGGAGCCCGGAAAACGCAGTACGAAGCTCCAAGTAACTCACTTCTTCGTTCCGTTTTACGTTACTGGGAAAAGCAGCCCAATGCGAGTAGGATTAAAAGATAAAACTACTTTTGTACTAATGTCCATCTTTAGAGATCAGGTCGAGACTTGCTTAATGTGTTTGAAAATACAAGAAATCTAAATATCCTACAACACTATAGATCTCACATTATGGCACATACAGCCAATTCTCTGTTTTGCCAGCTAGTCTCAAGCAAAATGCAAATTTTCGTATGTCGTTCAACCAAGCTCTCAGAAAAAAATATTTAATGAAATTTCCATAAAAGTTTTGACAGGACCTCACATGCCATAACTTTTTGATTGAAGTAAAAACACAAAAATATATAATATTATTATTAAATTCATTTATTTCAGATAAACTTATTTATCCGTGTTAATGTTAGTAACAGTGATTTCTTAAAAATATGTTAGTAAGGAATAATAATAAATATATAAATAACACATATCGTTATGAGCTAGGGTTTGGGATAAATTTCGATTTATATCTTAACCGAATACTAATTCCAATTCAATTTAATTGTTAGGATAATCAAATGTAGACTTCATTGTCACAATTCACTTTCTCTATCTTTCAAGATGATCTATTCCTCGCTTCGCCTCTAATAGAACTGTCGTCATGTCGCTTTAGCCACGTTTTTAGAGTCGTATCGAATTTGTATACAATTTTCCAGAAACATTCCTGCTAGAACTAGAAATCCCTTTCTTTTTTTTTCTACGTAAGCTTGAGAGGCTATTTCAGCGGAACCTTAACTAAACCTAACGACTAGAAATCCCGAGAATGTACTTCTAACTGGAACAGTTGTTTCTGCTATCCGACGATAGATGTCGTTAGTCGTACCGGCATAACAATATCCGTTTCCGTTTCCAGAGACAACACATACTACTTGCACTTGGAATGTATAAACACGCTGCTAGTGCTGATGTCAATATATATGTTTGCTGAAGTCCACGGACAGGAGAGACTGATCGAGACTTCGTTGATATACAGGTTTGTGAATCTCATTGCTGTTGTTGCGAAGTTTAGTGTACACCAGGGGTGGGCAAATACTTTAAAGCGCGGGCCAAAATGAAATTTTCAAAATGTCTCCCGCGCCGGAGGACTATACCGCATATGCTTTTTTACCGCATATGCTTTTTTCATGCTGATGTCAACAAAATCTCACAAAAGAGTTTAAAAAAATTTATGTGCGGAATTTTTCAACGGGCCGGATAAAATTAGCAAAAGGGCCGGATCCGGCCCGCGGGCCGGCTTTTGCCCACCCCTGGTGTACACTAATGGTAAACAGTCGACGTCGCCCAAAACGCGTCATTTCGGATCCTCCCGTACCACTAAGGGTGCTTTTAAGTACCTCAAGCACCGATCATCGTCCTCGCCGAACCCGTCGCTTGCGACGAAGGGCTCGACGAGTAAATTAACCCTCAAACACAGCCCACAGAGTTTCTTGCCGGATCTTCTCACTCAGTCGCGCTTCAAATTCGGTGGTAGATTCTGCGAAGCACGGCTCTTGCTAGGGTTCGTGTTAGCAACGTCGTCAGGTTTGAGCCCTGTGAGCTCACCTACTAGTTCTGTGAATCTAAAATAACCCCTCGAGGAAACTAGAATGGGTAGAAAGAAAAAAAATCGTCTGCTACTTGCGTCGGCAATCCTCAATGCTGAGGGTCGTGGCCTCTCTGAATGATTTTCACTTGGACAGTCTCCCACCGGCTCGGTCTATCCTCGGCTGCGTGAACTGAACCGTTGAGGGTAGATTTTTTTTATTGCTTATATGGTGGGCCGTATGCTCGATTGCCTACAAGGGCAATAAAAAAAAAAAAAAACCTGGTGTTAAGTGGTTACTGGAATCCGTAGACATCTACAACGTAAATGCACCACCCACCTTGAGATATAAGTTCTAAGGTCTCAGTATAGTTACAACGGCTGCCCTACCCTTCAATGCTTCACGGCAGAAATAGGCAGGCTGGTGGTACCCACCCGCGCGGACTCACAGGAGGTCCTACCACCAGTAGATCGGTGTAGTAGTAGTAGATCGGTTCCACCAGCGCAATGGATTTCTACCTTCGAATTACATTGCGTCGTGTAATGAAAATCATATCCTGAGAAAGCCGTAATACAGTACAATTAAGATTTCGGCCTCATGTCTTAAACCGGTGATGTCCATGGGCCCTAATCTTAGAATAATAACAATAATAAAAGGTTGCGTTTCCAGAACTCTCTTTCAAGGTCGTTACGGCATGCACGCCCCGCTGCTGGTCAAAACCCTTCTGTTGAATCTGTCGAGCATGTTGGCCGCCCCGCCGAGCATGTTCGGCACGCACGAGGGAGGTAGCGTTCTTATTAATTTGGCGTGTAAGTATATATTTTTCCTTTATAATAATACAGTCGAGTATATACCTAAGCTGATAGTCTTGAGAGTCTATTTCAGCGTAACCTTAACTAGTAGGTGAGGTCACGGGGCTCAAACCGGAGAGTTGCTAACACTGGCCCTAGCAAGAGCAGTGCTTCGCAGAATCTACCACCGGATCGGAAACGCGACCCACTGAGAAGATCCGGTGAGAAACTCAGTGGGCTGTGTCTATGGGTTAATTTACTCGTCGCGACGGGTTTGTCGAGGACCATGACCGGTGCTTGAGGCACCTAAAAGCACCGGTAGTGGATCGGGAGGATCCGAAATGACGTGTTTGGGGCGACGTCGACTGCTTTCCATTCTGTCCGCAGGATCGGGAATGGTGATAATGTATTTAGTACTGAATTTGACGTTTTGAAGTTTGTTAACCGACATCAAAAAAGAAGGATGTTCTCAATTCGTATTGATTTGCTTTTATTGATGCGTTACCTTAAAACGTTCTTCTAGGCGAAAAGGTTTTGAAAATTCTTTTTGTAGTGAAAACTTCTTTAGAATCGTTGTGATTTCAAACCGGATGCAACGGAAAAAACGACAGGTAAGAGACACAAATACAAAAATGTGTAGGATGAAGCCAGCAAAGAATGAGACGGAAATATACATACTATTTAATACAGCGCCATCTGTGAGATTTTTTAATACTAGCGTGTGTATGAAAGCTCTTGTAGTGAATTTTAATTTAGGATTATACGTGAAATTAAAATATCAATTCACAGAGGGCGCTACCTTACAATTATTTACTAATGACAAAATTTTACATATACTTAAGACGTTTAGGATAATTGTATTTTANAAATACAATAATGAGAGAAACGCGCGATCAGTACGAGGCTTTGTGGCGGACTGCCGGCGCAGCAGCCCGGCGCGCATTTCGTGTGACATGCGCAATCAGGCGCATAACGCATTTCGTGTGACATGCTAGTACGATTTTGGTCCCCATAATTTTCATACCCCGGGCCTATATATGTAAATCGATTCTAAAGGAGTAAACTCCAATAAAAAATAAGGGTTGATCGTAGAGAGGTGAAAATTTAGGGTTGTATGTATTTTTGTATGTTGTATCATAAAAAAATAAAAACAAAAAATTTTGTCTAAAAAATAACAAATAAAATTTAGGGGTGGACTACCCCTAACATTTAGGGGAATGAAAAATAGATGATGGCCGATTCTCATAGATACCGGATAAGCACAAAAAATTTCATCAAAATCGGTCAAGCCGTTTCGGAGGAGTATGGCAACGAAAACTGTGACACGAGAATTTTATATATTAGATTTAATAATAGGTTAAGTAGTGTAATTGTTTAATTGTATATTGTGAATAAAACTATTTCCTTGCATTATAAGTTAGATTAGTTTTCGTTATCGTGTTGTTTTGTCGTATAGTTGTAAGGAGCATTGCGTACCAACTCAGCACTTTGTCTTGTTTGGTCGTACGCAAATAGCTTATGTTGCAAGCCAGATTTTTTTCCTCTTTTTTTGTGTCTTTTTTATGTATTTTTTTAGCTTATGATGTGTATTGTGTGCCTAATAAATAAATAAAATCAAAAATATAAGTCAGTTCACTGTGTGTCCATGTATATACAACCAGCACTTTGCAATATTTTTTATCAAAAGGAGAACAATTATCCTCACTAATACACTATACAGGGACAGAGCCAAGCCGCTGCCTTCTGTATATATGTATAAAGTTAATTGTGTTTTTCCTTCCAGCGTAATGCTCTCTTGGACAACGTTCAATGCGTTGTTCGTCATAAAAGCGGTCATAAAATATCTAGTGGAGATGGTACCTGAATATGAATTGTGTCGGCATCTGGACGCCCAGATCGACAGGAGAACGGGCAACGGTCAACTCGATAACAAAGACGCTTCACAGACGGTGAGCTAACGGAGGACTTATTTTTTATTATTATTTTAATAACCTCATCACCCAATTCAGGAATACTTGTTTTATGGATACAAGACTGATAATACTTATATATATTTTAAATACATGAATTTTTTTTATAGCATAGATGGGTGGACGAGCTCACAGCCCACCTGGTGTTAAGTGGTTACTGAAGCCCATAGATATCTACAACTTAAATGCCTGACGGCATTTATAGTCATCATATAGTTTGCGTAAATACTGCTGGTGGGACCTCTTGTGAGTCCGCACGGGTAGGTACCACCACCCCGTCTATTTCTGCCGTTGAAGCAGTAATGCGTTTCGGTTTGAAGGGTGGGGCAGCTGTTGTAACTATACTTGAGACCTTAGAACTTACATCTCGCGGTGGGTGGCGCATTTACGTCGTAGATGTCTATGGGCTCCTAACCACTTAACACCAAGTGGGCACCAGCTCGTCCACCAATCTAAGCAATAAAAAAAATACATACATACATATAATAGTTATATTATATTGTATATAATTATAATTGGGACAAAAGTGTATTTCAATTAAAATGTCTTAATCTAAATGTTAATTCCTCTGTATATGTTCCTCTTAGCCATCGACACCTTCGAGCCATGAGGCCCACTCACAAACGCCTGAAGTGCAACAATCTCCAAAGCTGACGGCCTCCGAGAGTCGAGTGGAGATCCTCATAGACGCGCTGATAGGGCTCATCATAGACGTGCCTGTTACGTGAGTCATGTTCTGCTATTGGTGGAAAGAAAGAGTCTGGAAGAGATGGAAAGAAAGAGAAAGAAAGAAAGAATCTGGTCAGGAGCCCGGAAAGCTCAGTACAAAGCTCCAAGTAACTCACTTCTCCGCTCTGTTTTACGATACTGGGAAAAGCAGGTCAATGCGAGTAGGATTAAAAGATAAAACTACTTTTGTACTAATGTCCATCTTTAGAGATCAGGTCGAGACTTGCTTAATGTGTTTGAAAATACAAGAAATCTAAATATCCTACAACACTATAGATCTCTTTGCCTGCTTCGACTGGCAAAGACATTATGGCCTATACAGCCAATTCTCTTTTTTGCCAGATAGTCTCAAGCAAAATGCAAATTTTCGTATGTCATTCAACCAAGCTCTCACAAAAAAAAAAAAGATATTTAATGAAGTTTTCATAAAAGTTTTGAAAGAACCTCACATGACATAGATCTCACAAAAAAAAAGAAGATATTTAATGAAATTTTCATAAAAGTTTTGACAGAACCTCACATGACATAATTTTTGAATAAATTAAACAGGCAAAACAGTTAAAACAATTAAACAGGAATTTAGTTTTTTATCTTAACCGAAATACTAATTAAAACTCAATTTAATTGTTAAGACAATTAAATGTAGACTTCCCTGTCACGACTTATTTATTCATGATTTTCAAGGTGATACATTAGTCGCTTCGCTTCGCTTCTAATGGAACTGTCGTCATGTCGCTTTAGCCACGTTTTAAGAGTCATATCGAATTTGTATGCAATTTTCCAGAAACATTCTCGATAGAACTAGAAATCCCGAGAATGTACTTCTAACTGGAACAGTTGTTTCTGATATCCGACGACAGATGTCGTTAGTCGTGCCGGCATAACAATATCCGTTTCCGTTTCCAGAGACAACACATACTACTTGCACTTGGAATGTATAAACACGCTGCTAGTGCTAATGTCAATATATATGTTTGCTGAAGTCCACGGACAGGAGAGACTGGTCGAGACTTCGTTGATATACAGGTTTGTGAATCTCATTACTATTGTTGTGAAGTTTGGTGTACATTACCGTTCCTAAGGACCGGATTGTAAGAAAGAAAGAAAGAAAGAAATTTATTCACTAAGCATAGTGAAAATGAGTTATTACATAATTTAAAAGTAGCGTGTATGCTTTGTCATTGTTTGACATGCGAATTTGAGTTCAGTGCAAGATATTATGGTATAATATAATTTACCTTTCATTCGTCCATAATAACAACAAATAATTTAAAATATATTTATTTTGAATGTCGTCCCTAAGAAAATCATTTATGTGATAATAATTTTCGATTTCTATTTGCCACATTAGACATCTACTAACGGTGCTTTTAGGTACCTCAACAAGCACCGGTCACCGTTCTTCGAGTAAAAAAATGGTTATTAATAATGTGTTTTCAGAACCCTCTTTCAAGGTCGTTACGGCATGCACGCCCCGCTGCTGGTCAAAACTCTGCTGTTGAATCTGTCGAGCATGTTGGCCGCCCCGCCGAGCATGTTCGGCACGCACGAGGGAGGTAGCGTTCTTATTAATTTGGCGTGTAAGTATATATTTTTCCTTTATAATAATACAGTCGAGTATATACCTTAGCTGATAGTCTTGAGAGGCTATTTCAGCGTAACTTTAACTAGTAGGTGAGCTCACGGGGCTCAAACCTGACGATGTTGCTAACACGAACCCTAGCAAGAGCAGTGCTTCGCAGAATCTACCAGCGGATCGGAACCGCGACCCACTGAGAAGATCCGACGAGAAACCTAGTGGGCTGTGTCTATAGGTTAATTTACTCGTCGCGACGGGTTTGTCGAGGAGGGTGACCGGTGCTTGAGGTACCTAAAAGCACCGTTAGTGGATCGGGAGGATCCGAAATGACGTGTTTGGGGCGACGTCGATTACTTTCCATTCTGTCCGCAGGCTCGGGAATGGTGATAATGTATTTAGTACTGAACTTGACGTTTTGAAGTTTGTTAACCGACATCAAAAAAGAAGGATGTTCTCAATTCGTATTGATTTGCTTTTATTGATGCGTTTACCTTAAAACTTTCTTTTCTAGGCGAAAAGGTTTTGAAAATTCTATTTTTTTTTTAAGGATTACTCTTCTATTGTGGTCCCATTTGGGTTTTATCGAGATCTAATCTTGGAGTTTTTGACTTATCCTTATTTAGAGTTGTTCTTTGTCGCCTCACTTTTGGCGGAGCAGTCGTGGTTGTCATGCTTTCGTAATGAGTTTCATATCCCTTTCTTCCGGCCGCGCGTCTAGTGCCCATAGACATCTACAACGTAAATGCCGCCACCTACCTTGAGATATAAGTTCTAAGGCCTCAGTATAGTACAACGGCTGCCCCACCCTTCAAACCGAAACGCATTACTGATTCGCGGCAGAAATAGGCGGGCCGGTGGTACCTACCTGTGCTAAGTTCGTAAAGAACTTGTGTTACAGGTACCAGATAACGGATATAAATGTAATTATTTTTATTATACACATACACATATTTAATATACATCCATAACCGTGGAAAAGACATTTTATATTTATCATACAAATATCTTCCGTTGGCGGAGGCACTTACCACTACACCAGACGGCCGTCTAAAGAAGTTTCACTTCAGAAGGCATGAGTTCAGAACCTGCTCTGCCCTGCCCACAGCCGGCCTCTGGAGCATGCTGTCGTTCACCACGTCCGCCAGACCCACGATATACAGCCACCCGCCGGCGGACCGGCAGGAGTTGCTGCGGAGGCTGAACAAGGAGCACCCGGTGGCGAACCAGTCGTGCCTGCTGCTGCTGGCGCTGGCCAACCACTGCATGAACGACGACAACCTGTACAGGAGGTCGTTGCTCTGCTGCGAGGATAGTTGCGGTAAGGAATTGAAATTAAATACATGTGGGTTTTTAAATTCGGGGTGGGCCAGTGGAACGCTCGATCACTCAACAACAACTCGAGGCTTTTTTTTATTTATTGCTTAGATGGGTGGACAAGCCCACAGCCCATCTGGTGTAATTGGTTACTGGAGCCCATAGACATTTATAACGTAAATACGCCACCCACCTTGAGATATAAGTTCTCAGGTCTCAAGTATAGTTACAACGGCTGCCCCACCCTTCAAACCGAAACGCATTACTGCTTCACAGCAGAAACAGGCAGGGTGGTGTTACCAGCATGGTAGTCAGCCGTAATAACTATACTGATAAGCATAATTAAAAAGAAAATAGCATTGTGCACTTCTTCTCTATATTCTCTATAAGTGTGGGAAATTGCATACTCCTCCGTCCGCGCGATTTTTGTAAAAAGGGGTACAAAGTTTTTGCTTCACGTATTAATATGTAGATAATTGTTCCTGTTCGCCAGAAACGAGTTCGACGACGCCGCAGAAAGACGCCGTGACGTCACAAATCACGCCCCCCCGTATAGACATGGCTGCGGTGAGAACTACCCACATTTTGATAACCTTATTAGATTCGGCAACCCTATTCGATTTTTGTTGTTTATCAAAGACTAGCGATCCGCCCTCGCTTCACTTCGGAACATGTAATTTATTATTGATTTCTCCACTATTTAATGGATGTTATTATACATATATAACCTTCATCTTCAATCCGTTGCGTAGTTTTAAATATTTAAGCATACATAGGAATATAGGGACAGAAAAGCGACTTTGTTTTATACTATGTAGTGACTAGACGAAGTTACTGCCCTGCTAATGGTGAACAGTCACCGATGAGTGTCATTAGCAATGTCAGGGACGCGCTTGAGCCGACGCTTACCGCTTAGCTAAGCTTAGTTAATTCGGCCTTAGTTTCTTACCTTCGGCCTTACGTTACCTGACGGTAAGTAGTTACCATTGGCCATGGACGTCAGCAACAGCTCGAGCATGGCCAGGCCACTGTCTACCACTAAGAACCCTCCGCAAACCTGGTTTGAAGAAGGACACATGTCATAGCGTCCGGGAAACACCGTGGAGGGGAACTCAATCCAGAACCGGATGGTGTGAGGCGGAAAATATATTTGGAAACGCACTGTGGATGATTAAAACAGGACCTGTATTATCACTCCGGGAGCACACCTACTATGTGGAGGGATATTGGCAATACAAGCTGTCCCATCATCACCATCATCGTCATTAACAGCCTGTTTTAGTCCACTGTCGGAGACAGGCCTCTCCCGAGACACGCCCCGCGACCTAACCCTGGGCCTCTCAAACATTAATGACGAGAGGTAGATTGATTTAAGGTCGTTGACGTCAAACGTAGAGGATAATATGGATATGCCTCCAAAATACCGGAACTTCATATTTATTGTGATATTTATTCCGGAATTTTGAAATTAGCATGAATCTGTGTTTAAGGTGAAAAATGCATTAATAATATTAATCTACGCTACCAGTGCTAGCTAATGGTGAAAGAAATCAGTATTTTATTTTATACAAAAACACCTTGGACTAGTTACACCGTATTTTGTCCCCTTCTGTTGAAATAGAAATTACGCTTGTCAGTATGAGACAAAACTTGGACAGGGCTTTTTGTTAATTTATCTCATAAATATAGAAATTGTATGATCCGATGAGGAATACAAATATTTTTTTTCAATTTAAAAAAAAAATTATTGTGGATAAAACGGCATGTCCATATTATAATATCTTGACGCAAGTATATAAAATCAATCTACCTACTCCGACTACTGGTAATGACAACGTTTCCTGGCCGCGTAATGTGGACTGCATTAAGTCGACTATCCTCGTTAAGTTTGCTAAAATTGTATTCGTAATGGAGTCAGTACCGCAGCTCCACAGAGCCCTGTGCGGCGCGGCTGGTTGTGAGCACGTGACGCTGCTGCTGTACCTCATGCTGCATTCCTGCCGCCATTACAAGAGCCACGTCAGCGCCACACCACACATCGAAAACCTGGTGAGTTCCGACGACAGAGGGAGGGTCTTCCACCGTAGGCCCGAATGTTGTTGTTCGGAACTTGTATATGTCGGAGAGGGTCATTAGTTTGGTACCAAAACGAGCTTACAACACGATTACTGGTGGTAGGACGTCTTGTGAGTCCGTGCGGGTAGGTACCACCGCCCTGCCTGTTTCTGCGTTGAAGCAGTAATGCGGAAGGCGGGGCAGCCGTTTGTAACTATACTGAGCTTTAGAACTCTTGTTTTGAGGTGGGTGGCGGCATTTACGTTGTAGACGTCTATGGGCTCTGGTAACCATTTAACTCTAGGTGGTCTGTGAGCTCGTCCAGCCATCTAAGCAATAAAAATAAAATAAAATAAAACCCAGTGTCAGTCAGTTTCCTTTCACGCCTGAATCACTCTAACAATGTTTTCAAAATAAGCTTGCGTATATACAAGTTCCAAAAAAGAAAAAAAAAACATTCGGATACTGGGTCTACGGTAGATGGTGGGTGGTGGAATTGACGTTGTAGAAGATTACGTCTATAGGCTCCGCTAACCACTATTTTGCTTCTTGCTTTGAGTCCATAGACGTCTACAATGTAAATACCACCACTCACCTTGAGATATGAGTTGTAAGGTCTCACTTTTAACAGTACAACGGCTGCCCCGCCCTTCGAACCGCAACGCATTACTGCTTCACGGCAGAAATTGGCGGGGCTGTCAGCTCGTCCACATATATATGCAATAAAAAAGGCCCGTGAGCTCGTCCACATATTTATGCAATAAAAAAAAGATTTTGCCTTTGTCGTTACACTCAGTGATCTTACAGCCTATAGTGACCGTTTGCAAAACAATAGCCGCGTTCTGTTATATCCCTACATAGCATGTAATAATGCTTACCAATCATCAACATCAGCATTTATTCCCGATGATGATTTCTAGCTACTGGTGTTAGGACCTCTTGTGAGTCCGCGCGGGTAGGTACCACCGCCCTGCCTATTTCTACAGTGAAGCAGTAATGCGTTTCGGTTTGAAGACCTTAGAACTTATATCTGATGATGGGTGGCGCATTTATGTTGTGAATGTCTATGGGCTCCAGTAACCACTTAACACCAGGTGGGCTGTGAGTTCGTCCACGCATCGAAGCAATAAAAAAAAAGGTAGCTTTTTAAAGCAGTTCGGGTCAGACTTTCGTCGGAGTGGGACGCATACCGAGTTTCCCTCACTTTCCCTATAAATAATATAAACTTAGTCTAGGGGGAGTATTAAAAGTGTTTTTTTAAAAAGAAGTTCCCAGTTTCAATTCTAACAGTTCGTTGCATACGTATCCGTTGTTGTTCTGCAGATAGTACCGGTGCTTGAGGTGCTGTACAACGCGCCCGAGAACAACTCCCACCACATCTACATGTCGCTGATCATACTGCTGATACTGACCGAAGACGACGCTCTGATTAAGAACGTGCATATGATCGTGAGTGGATTTTAAGTCTTCCTAGCAGGGGTCATCCGCAACGCGTTTCCAGAGAGGAGACCATCCGACTCTGATAGGAGCATGTGTCTTTTGTAACGAGATTAGGAGACAGCTGACAGCGGTTGTGTCTGGGGCCTAGCCGTGGTCCACGGGCGACTGAATCTGCTTAAAACGATAAATAATTCGAGCACACATACTAAAGGACACGAGTCACAGGATAAACACCACGATCAGATCTTTAGCAGGAGTAGGGTTCCCTCGCAGCGCGTTTCCAGAGAGGTTTTCTGCACCATCCGCCTCTGATAGGAACATATCTCTCTTGTACCGAGGTTAGCGGATAGCTTACAGCGGCCGTGTCTCTGGCTTAGCTGAGGTCCACGGGCGACCGAATTTGCCTAAAATGGCAATAGATAAATAATTCCGGCACACGTACCAAAGGACACGCGAGGTTCGATCCTGATAAGACGAACGACAGTGTTACCAGTGGTATTGTTAAGGGGTGGATCCAGGAGCACTTTAAAAAAAAGGAAACTGTGACTGACACTGAGTTTTATTTTATTTTTATTGCTTAGGTGGGTGGACGAGCTCACAGCCCACCTGGTGTTAAGTTAGGTTACTGGAGCCCATAGAAATCTACAACGTAAATGCGCCACCAACCTTGAGATATAAATTCTAAGGTCTCAGTACAGTTACAACGGCTGCCCCACCCTTCAAACCGAAACGCATTACTGCTTCACGGCAGAAATAGGCGGGGTGGTGGTACCTACCCGCGCGGACTCTCAAGAGGTCCTCCCACCAGGGATTACGCAAATTATAATTATGCGGGTTTGATTTTTTATTAAACGATGTTATTCTTTCGCCGTGGAAGTCGATCGTAAACATTTGTTGAGTACGTATTTCATTAGAAAAATTGGTACCCGCCAGCGGGATTCGAACACCGTTGCATCGCTATACACGAATGCACCGGACGTCTTATCCTTTAGGCCACGACGACTACAAAGTTTTATTTTGTTGGCAGACCCTAAAAAACCCGACATGGTACACGGAGAGGACGATATCGGAGATCTCGCTAGGCGGTCTGATGGTGCTGGTCATAATAAGAGCGCTGCAGTACAACATGACACGGGTCCGGGACAAATATTTACACACGAACTGCTTGGCTGCCGTCGCCAACATGAGCTGTGAGTGTCTGATGCAAAGACCACATTTTAAGAGCTCTAGGTTGCAGCAGAGTCTGTTGCCGAGACGATGTCGAGCGAGTAAATTAACCCTCAGACACAGCCCACTGAGTTTCTCGCCGGATCTTCTCAGTGGGTCGCGTTTCCGATCCGGTGGTAGATTCCGCGAAGCACGGCTCTTGCTAGGGTCCGTGTTAGCAACGTCATCAGGTTTGAGCCCCGTGAGCTCACTTACTAGTTAGGTTACGCTGAAATAGCCTCTCAAGGCCTAGGTAAAAAAAAAGATGCTATTGGAACTACGCAATGTATAGTTAAAACGCAGTGTTTTTCATTATTATTATTGCTCAGATGGGTGGTCGAGTTCACGGCCCACCTGGTGTTGAGTGGTTAGCGGAGCCCATAGACATCTACGAGTTCGAAATTCTCAGTATAGTTACAACGGCTGCTCCACCCTTCAAACCGAAACGCATTACTGCTTCACGGCATAAATAGTTAGGAATCGAGTGGAGATCACGTACTGAAAATCGCTGGGTCACGTTGAACACAGATGACAACGGACCGACCGCACTGGACATCAGTTGGAGAGGCCAAGTTCAGCAGTGGACAGTAGACAGGCTGAGCTAACTAATAGCATTAAGATGACCCATTGAGATCAGTGTTTGTTTTTAGGTGAATTTAGGAACCTCCATCCGTACGTAGCACAGAGACTAATATCTCTATTCGAATCATTGACCAAGAGAAGAGCGAGACTGTGCAGCGAGATTGAAGGTATGACTTGGTGTTTTTTTATCATCAAATCAAGAATATTAAACGGAACCCGACCTAGATTTATAATTGTGCTCTATGGAATTGTTCAAGATGATACTATCATCTCGTTTTTACCATCGCACCGCCCGCCACCGGAGTAGAGCTCATCCCTACTACCTGGAGCCACTGCGGTCATCAACAGAGCGTTTCCAGAGGTCTTTTTTCGCCACGTACCACCCGGCTATGGAATGAGCTCCCCTCCACGGTGTTTTCCGAGCGCTATGACATGTCCTTCTTCAAACGAGGCTTGTGGAGAGTATTAAGCGGTAGGCAGCGGCTTGGCTCTGCCCTTGGCATTGCTGAAGTCCATGGGCGACGGTAACCATTCACCATCAGGTGGGCCTTATGCTCGTCTGCCTACAAGGGCAATAAAAAATAAAAAAATCGTTCTGTGTTGTCGGTGTTGGAACACGCAACGGAACACAAATTTAAAGCAGTCGACGCGCTAGGTCATCGACCCCACGGTTTCGGGTGACGCCTTTCACGGAATACGAACTTACTAAAACCGACGATGGTTCATTCATAACGAGATATCGAAGCTTTCTAAGCTCGTTAAAAAGTTTTATTCGTAATAAAAATTAATAAGGTCGTTAATGGTCATTAATAAACACTTTTTTACAGCCGTCTTACAACGGGCCTATAAAGCATCTGATAAGGCATCTATACTCTATACTAATATATAATAAATCTACAGTGGTTTTTACGGATGTTCCGTTATAACTACTGAACCATGCATCCGATTGACTTGAAACTTGGTATCCATCTAGAAAATACATGTGCTAAATGAATAGGCTAATATTTATATAAGTGTTGGACTCCCTAATAATAATGACAAAAAATAATAATGTTAATTTTAAATGCACAGCGAAGTTGGGGAGTACGGCTAGTTGTCAATAAGACCGGACGAATGTATACGATCGGTAAATGAATATTGCTTTTTTTATTGCCCTTGTAGGCAGACAAGCATACGGCTCATCTGATGGTGAATGGTTACTGTCGCCCATGAACTTTAGCAATGCCAGGGGCAGAGCCAACCCGCTGCCTACTGCTTTCTGTGGATGTCGATTGTCGAGACAGCCTTCTCAAACCATTGCGGCTTATGAAGCGATTATCTCCTACCCGCATTTCAGAGCTTATGTTTCCCGCAGGTGGCGATTTAAATAATTTAGAACTACCGCATCAGTCAGAAGAAAAGACAGAGGAAATTGTGAGTTTGAAAAAGTTTGAATTTTTAGAGTTTTTTTTTTATCTGGATATTTACAAATATATATTTGAGTCGTCTATTATCAAAGGTGGCAATCTGTGCATTTGGACAAAAAAATGTTATTGATATGTCAATACAGATTGATTTGAATATAATCGTCTCCTTCAAAGAATACGGTTCAAAACCTGCATTAAATAAAGGTTAATACNGTTATTGATATGTCAATACAGATTGATTTGAATATAATCGTCTCCTTCAAAGAATACGGTTCAAAACCTGCATTAAATAAAGGTTAATACTTAACCTGTTATTTATCTAAGATGTCGTTCCGAAGAGTTTTGTGACTGCCAATGGAATACAAAGTCAATAATTCGTTTTTCTGATTTACCAATAATTGTCCAAAAGTCACATTGCCGTCTTTGATACTAGTCGACTCAATTGTCAAAAGTCACATTGCCGGCTTTGATAATAGTCGACTCATTTATTTATTTATTTAGATGCACCAAAAAGTGATCATCAAATATAAAAAATTGACAAATTAACAATAAGCACATAACAGATCCTCAATTAAAGGCACTTTTACAAAGATGAATGTCGCTTAGACCAAATAGCTTTTTACATGTCGATATATCTATACTAATATATAAATCTACAGTGGTTTTTACGGATGTTCCGTTATAACTACTGAACCGTGCATCCGATTGACTTGAAACTTGGCATCCATGTAGAAAATACATGTACTTAATGGATAGGATAATATTTATATGAGTGTTGGACTCCCTACACCAGTTGCGGGGGCGTTAATGATGAGAATCTTTGTGGGGGTGAGAAATAATAATGTTAATTGTAAATGCCCAGCGAAGCGGACGGGTACAGCTAGTAAATTTATATTTGAACGTTACTGCATACCGATCTCCGGCTTCCGCGGTCCAGGGACCTCTAGGACTTGCGCCCGATTCGTTATCGTAATTCGTTTCTCAGATGGACCACATCAACGTTTTGGATGAAGTCCTGAGGATGCTCTTGGAGATAATAAACTCTTGCCTGGCGCACCAGCTCTCCAACAACCTGAATCTGGTGTACGCGCTGCTGCACAAGCGGAACGTCTTCCAGCAGCATCAGAACCTGCACATCACCCAGAACATAGAGATGGTATAAAGAGAGAGAGGGAGGGGGGAGTATTAAGCGGTAGGCAGCTGCTTGGCTCTGCCCCAGGTATTGCTGAAGTCCATGAGCGACGGTAACCATGCACCATCAGGTGGGCCGTGTACTTGTCTGTCTAGAAGGGCAATTAAAAAAAAGATGGTAAGTGGCTGGGGGTCTGGACTGGTTTATTGCTTAGATGGGTGCACCAGCTCACGGCTCACCTGGTGTTAAGTGGTGATTGCAGCCAATAGACATCTACAACGTAAATGCCACCACCCATTTTGAGATATGAGTTCAAAGGTCTCAGTATAGTTACAACGGCTGCTCTGCCCTTCAAACCGAAACTCACTATTGTTTCACGGAAGAGATAGGCGGGGTGGTGGTACCTACCCGCGCGGACTCACAAGAGGTCCTACCCCCAGTAATTACGCAAATTATAATTTTGCTGGTTTGATTTTTATTACACGATTCCTTCACCGTGAAAGTCAATCGTGAACATTTGTTGAGTACGTATTTCATTAGAAAAATTGGTACCCGCCTGAGAATCGAACACCGGTGCATCGCTACACACGAATGCACCGGACGTCTTATCCTTTAGGCCACGACGACTTCAAAATGATGTGTGAAGTGACGTGACGTTGTGTCGCAGGTCATAGGGTACTTCTCGAGTCGCCTCCAGCGTGTGCAGGAGGGCGCCGGCACCGACCTGGGCGTGACCGAGGTGCTGGCCTGCATCAGGAAGGGCGCCGAGCAGTGGTCCAGTGACCGCCTGAAGGTAACACCTTGCGTCTTTTTTTTTCAACCTATGTTGATAGCCTTGAGAGGCTACTTCAGCTTCTCCTTGACGTGTAGGTGAGCTCACGGGGCTCAAACCGGGAGTGTTGCTAACACTGGCCCTAACAAGAGCAGTGCTTCGCAGAATCTACCATTGGGTTAATTTACTCGAGCCCTTCGTCGCAAGCGACGGGTTCGACAAGAACGGTGACCGGTGCTTGTGGTACCTAAAAGCACCGTTAATGGATCGGGAGGATCCGTAATGACGTGCTTAAGGTGACGTCGACTGTTTAACCATTCGTTCCACAGGATCGGGTATGAACCTTGCGTCGATTATCCTCAATGCTGAGGGTCGTGGCCTTGTGAAGATTTCTTGGGGAAATAAACGTGGTGGGGTCTCGCGTCCTACCACGGCAGAGCTTTTGAAAAAAAAATAGTTATTATAGGCTGCAGAAGCCTTATTTGTGTCCGGCTAATCCGGTAAACATTCGGCGTTGACTGTTTTACGGTGGAAAAGTCGAACTCCAATTCAACCCTCCTCTTTTCTCTACCGGACTTGGCACTGACTGGCATTGGCAGAGTTAACACAATTGTGAACAGTTAAAACCACTTTTGGGGCTTAATGTCCCGTTTTTACCGTCGTTACATTTTTGTGTTAAGTGGATACCGGAGCCCATAGACATCTACAAAGTAATTACCGCCACCCACCTTGAGATATGAGTTCTAAGGTCTCAGTATAGTTACAACGGCTGCTCCGCCCTTCAAACGCATTACTGCTTCACGGCAGAAATAGGCGGGGTGGTGGTACCTACCCGCGCGGACTCAGGTGGCGCGATATTGATAAATTATTTTTTTGCAGAAGTTTCCGGACCTGAAGTTCCGTTACGTGGAAGAGGACAAACCGGAAGAGTTCTTCAGCCCGTACGTGTGGAGGTTGATCAGCGGCTGCGGCGGCGTGCACTGGGCGAGCGAGGGCGGAGCCCGGGCGCTCCGCCACCTGCTCGTCTGATCCGGGCCCCGCGCTGTCACGGGCTCTGGGACGTGCCACAGAGTGCTTTGACAAAACACGCGTCGTGCAGCGCCATCTATACACGAACGATTGAACTAATTCGAAAAGTTAATGTCACTGACGTAATCGGAAACTAGTATTTCCTGAAAATGTCCCGAATCACGAGAGTGAATCAAAAATACTTTTATGGCTTAGTAATGTAATATAAACTATTTAAAAAAACAATTATCTGTATTGGTATATTAATGATTTAAGAGAGAAAAAAAAACCTACACGACCACCGATAATGTCTCGAACCTCATGCCATAACTACGGAAACGATTGCAGTGAGATATTGCCTTTTAAAACTCATCTAAAAATTAGTGTCTTACTCATCTATCGATAGTCGATAAGAATATTTTTTTGACAATCTATTGTGGTAAATAAATTGTCGTCGTCTATCATTTGCGCTTATAAAGGCGCTGGCAATGTTAATTTATGAAAAGTACGACAGCTGTTTGGCTATGTCCCTGACGATGCCGTAGTCCATGGGCGACGGTTAACGCTCATCGTAACTTGGACGTTAGACTTGTCTGCGTAATAAGACAATAAAAAGCCGAATTCGATTATTGCCAGCGGGACGATGTGGAACATGGGTGATTTTATTTTCTCATTATTTAGATATAAATAGATGATTTTATACGTCAGTATTACACGTCATGACCCAAGAAACATAACATAACCGAACAGAAGTTTCTCAACGTGAAAATTAAATTATCAAAAACACGTTAATACGACATTAAACTTCATATTTTTTGTTTATATGAATTACTTAGCGGTAACATTCATGCGATTTTTGCATTGAACACATACAGAATACGTATATCTTGACGGAATTCCTATACGATTTACTATATTTACTGGTGGTAGGACCGCTTGTGAGTCCGCGCGGGTAGGTACCACCGCCCTGCTTATTTCTGCCGTGAAGCAGTAATGCGTTTCGTTTTGAAGGGCGGGGCAGCCGTTGTAACTATACTGAGATCTTAGAACTTATATCTCAAGGTGGGTGGCGCATTTACATTGTAGATGTCCATGGGCTCCAGTAACCACTTAACATCAGGTGGGCTGTGAGCTCGTCCACCCATCTAAGCTATAAAAAAAAATCGAATCCATATATAGATGGAGTAATAAATTCGCTTAATAAAGGGTAAACGGAAATTTGCAAATTCCGTAGGGTAGTTTAAAAAGCCAGCCCGCGCTCCGCATTATGACGTAATCGATGTTCGAACGCGGGTGTGCGAGAGAGATGGCGAGAATCGATATATAGACGGTATAGTAAATTCGCTTAGTAAAGGGTAAGCGTAAAATTTACAAATGCGGTGGGGTAGTTTTAAAAGCAAGCCCGCACTCCGCATTGGAGCTTTTTGGCGGGAACGCGAGGAGTGAAGTTGTGTGATTTGTTTTATTTTGTCTATTTAGTGTTTCTTCGGGTTTAAATGTGTAATAAATGTGGTTTATTAACTGTTTAATATCTGTGAAAGTGCACAAATGTGGGAAAATGAAACAAAGCCGCTGAACGTAACTTCTCGGGATCCTCCAAAAGGTCCACTGAAAAAGTCGCAGTAAATGACCACCATTTTACTGAGATTATATTTCATCTCGTCTCGTTTCATTTTATTTCATTTCATGCCATGTTTCATATTAATGAATTTCATTTCATTATATCATTTTTCATATAAAAAAGTTTTCATTAAAATTAAAATAAGACTTGACCTTAAAGGTCTCAGTTACCAGGTCATAAAATCCCTTTAAAAATAAAGCACCGCATTGTGACGTAATCGATGTTCGAATTCAGGGGGTGCGAGGGAGATGGAGAGATCGTTCTTTATACTCTCCCTATACCCACAATCGTAGTCAGGATTTTAGTTAGATAATTTTCGAACTAACTTGTGTCATCTTTTCACAAAAGGTATAACTAAGTAAAGGTATAATTATAAATATTATAAAGCTGAAGACTTTGTTTGTTTGAACGCGCCAATCTCAGGACGTACTGGTCCGATTTGAAAAATTCCTTCAGTGTTAGATAGCCCATTTATTGAGGAAGGTTATAGGCTATATAACATCACGGTAAAACAAATACAAGTGAAACACCAATAAAGAATGTTTCAAAATAGTGGTTTAAATAGGAGCTATTAACATTCTATAATTCAAAAATATTTTCACTTTCTACGTAAATGAAGTGGGGGGTAAAATTTAGCGTTATGCCAAAGTAATTATTCCACGCGGACGGAGTCGCGGACAAAAGCTAGTACAATTATATTTACACAGATTGTAAATTAATAAAGAGCTATTAAAAAAGGCATTCATTCCCATTCGCTTGCTCACAATTACGCTACGCTGAGTTAATAAAAGAACTTTAAAAGATTGTTTAAAATAAATGGGATTTTCTTGGGTTTTAGGGAGTCTTTAAAAGTAATTATAACTTACGATTATAATTTGGCGTTTATTTTATTATTACAATATAACGCAAGTTTCGTAAGCTCTGCCGTTTTTTCGTGGTTACGATCGGAAAAACGCATTCTTTACCGTGGATATTCAAAGGAAAATGATACTTGATTAGCATTAAAACTCTCGTGAGTCCGCACGGGTAGATACCACCACCCTGCCTAGTTTTACCGTGAAGCAGTAATGCGTTTCGGTTTGAAGGGCGGGGCAGCCGTTGTAACTATACTGAGACCTTAAAACTTATATCTCAAGGTGGGTAGCGCATTTACGTTGTAGATGTCAATTGGCTCCAGTAACCACTTAACACCAGGTGGGCTGTGAGCTCGTCCACCCATCTAAGCAATAAAAAAAAAGTGTTGACAATTAAAATCTAAAATATTAGTAATGGAGGCGCAGTGTGGTTATTTGTTATTTTGAACGTGTCCCGGTATATTTCGGTTCGTTGAGTATCCGTCATATCGTCTTTTCGCATTAAAAGTGTACAGTTTCCAAAAATATTCGAAATTGAGTTAATATGGTCAATCATTTATTTTGGTGTCACCAGTATGTATTTTACTAATAAATACTGTCAAAAGAACGTAGTTTAGTTTTTTTTTTTTAATTTACCTATGTTTTGACTACTATAAACAAAATTAATACATAATTTTATCTTACTTTAAAAGACAGATAATGTATATGTAATGCGAGAAAACGATATAAGTCTGACGGCATGGCTCGTGCCTTTGTGCAAGTTTCTTAACGTTCTCGATAGCGTAAAAGTTAACTCAATTTTGAATGCAGTTGGAACAACGCCCCTAGCGGCAAACGTACGCAAACGATCCCATTCCATACAAACAAGTGGATGACCGATAAATTATGTTTTTTAGACATTATATTTAAATACGAATTACATATTGATAAAATGATGAAATATGAATAATATTTTTCGATCTTACCGACAGAATATATAATAAAAAAGATGAACTGGTTATTTAAAGAAAAAATCAAAATTATCGATAAAGTTGATCATTGAAAACACGAATAAAACAATATTTTCTGAAAATAAATCGTAGCTAGATTGATTTATCGCCCCCGAAATCCCCTGTATAGTAAATTTTATGAAAATCATTGGAGCCGTTTCCGAGATTCAGATTTTATATATATATTTATATACAAGAATTGCTCGTTTAAAGATATAATAATAATAATAAGATATAAGCTAACTTTTACGCCATCGAGAACGTTAAAAAACTCGCACTAAGCACACTGGTCATGAATAACATCCCACAATAGATGCGTGTATGGACTTAAATATAAGCGGAGGTAATTTTGGTGATGAAGTTAACACACCGAAACACGTCTTGGACATTGTCACACGTGAAAGTCGTTAAAGTTAATAACGTTCAATAAAATGGCCATGACATGGTAATATGATGACTATTTTAATATAACTGTATTTCTTGTCATTCCTAAGCACTTCCCTTTAGATTAGTTAAAAACAATATTTCAGTTTATATTATTAATTCTTATTATAAAGCAATAATAAAATGTACAATTATAAATAAATTATATTTAATATGATATTTAAATTGGACTTTTAATACATACAAGCAAACATACCTTAGCTATAAGCGTTTCGTTTTAAACAGTTAAATAAAGTTTTCTTGAAGTGGATGAGCAAACGATCTTGTAGAGCTCATCTGGTATCAAATAATCGAAATTCTGTACATACATGTTGAAAAGAAACCAATATTCTTCACCTCCCTCCAAAAATAAGCCTACCTCTTGAAATGTGAACACGGCTAGTGGCAACTCGACTTTTTAGGGTCTCATTTACTCCCAAAAATCCTCGCAAGACAATGGTGACAATTTAGTTAGAATTTTAGGAACAACCGAGAGAATGTTCTCTTACCTCTATTTACTCCTAAGCATTTGTTAGGTTGTCAAAAAGTTGAAGGTAATTTTTGCCTTGCTATACGTTCAAGCGTGAAGAAACAAACATGAAAATGAATAGACTTAATAAAAGAATTAACACAGTATCGCTCTTCACGGTTCCCAAGATTTTGATTAGCTTTGTAATTTGTCGTTTATAGTTAAAGTTTAGTCTTTGAAATCCGCAAAGGGGACAATGACAAGATGAGTAAAGATCTTTTTTTTTTTTTAAGAGATTTTAGGACCTGGTAACTAAGACCTTTAAGTCATGTCTTATTTTACTTTATATTCTTAATTTTATGAAAAATGATAATATGGAGTGAAATGAAATGAAGATGATTAATTTGAGACATTAATCAACTGGGATGAAATTTAATGAAATGAGATGATATGGGATGAAATATAATCGCAGTAAAATGGTGATCATTTACTGAGATTTTTTCAGTGGACTTTTTGGAGGAACCCGAGAAGTTACGTCCAGCAGCTTTGTTTCATTTTCCCACATTTGTACACTTTCACAGATATTAAACATTTAATAAACCACCGTTATTACACATTTAAACCCGAAGAAACACTAAATAGACAAAATAAAACAAATCACACAACTTCACTCCTCGCGTTCCCGCCAAAAAGTCAGGAAAGATCTTGTGAGATGACAACCACAGATCACAAGTCACAGATTAATAGTACGCAATGACAACGATTGACAAGTGTAGTGTGATGTGATGTATTGTGATCGGGTGTGCGTAAACAATTAAATTGTTGAGCGGTTAATAATTCAATTTAATAAGATTTGAATTTTACGCTAAGACTGCAAATTTACTGAACTTTATAATTTAATATCGTGCGCTGTTCTTACCTTTGCTCATGGTGCCGTGACGGACTAAAACCTACGCTTGTCTGGTAAGTGTCCGAATAAAAAAAATCCTTCGATTAAAATTTAAATATTTTGCTAAGTATATTCTGTCTCAAGTAGATAACGTATAATTTGTCCGGTGTGCT